TCAGATGATGGCCAGAAATTCAAAACCAAACTTATATTAGAAGATCTTTTTTTTTAACATTCGTCTTTTTATAATTTGTGTTCACGCCCTTGTGTTATTTTGCTAATGGTGTAAACTTGGTTAAACTGTCAAAATCACCATCAATTTTGATGACCATTTAATCATTCGGCTCATCTTTGGTTTCCTCCAACAGATAAAAAAAAATCTGAGTCAGAATCAGAAATTTTTTTAATTCATAAAATTATTATTTTTAAAAATTTGTATTACAAAAATGGCATAAAAAAATTCAAACACCTTTTTACTGGAGAAAAGTTTCATGGCTTATCTTTCTAAGCATGCTCGCTTGTATTACTCGCTCGTTATCAGACGAAAACTCAAAAATTTCAACCAAGTTTTTCTCAACACAGGGACAGCTTTTCGAATTTTTTGATGTTGTTCGAATCTCGACTGAAATGGTTGTAATATGGTAAGTCACTTCCCGCATTACAATCATTTTTTTGTTGCAAATGTTTTTGGTGGAAGAACTAAAGACTGTGCCTGCTGTTTCATCTTATTTGCTTGAAGATAGACCAAAATCAAAAATTTCAAACGGGTTTTCCAGGCACTGAGAAATTGTTTTTTTTTCCAATATCGGTCGAACTGAAAGAGCTTTAATAAGATATATCACTCGACGCACTCCGATTACAGTTTATGGTTCCTGATTTTGTGTGGAAATAAAAAAAAAGAAAAAAACTAATATCGGAAGACAAGTATCCTCTGAACGCAAACTACATTCGGGAAGTGTTAGAAGAGCCAGTATATTTTGTCTGCGACTTCTTTTTTAGCGCAGTCATGCAGTAAAAACCATGTAATCTCATATTAAAACCCTTGCGATTATCAATGGCGTTGCTACCGCTGACCAGACTTTTTCCCGCCATTATCTTTGTTCGCAGAATTGTCATCATTTAACTTCATTAGCATATCAAGTTTTAGCTTCTAATTCTGCTTGTTTGACGCAGAGATAATGCAAATGCTGCTGCGTACGACAGAGACTGTGGTTTGACTCCAGCCAGGAGCTGCACGTTTTGCTATTAAAAAATTTCTTGAAAAAAGTTAATTGTCCGGACTATCTTTTGTCTTCTTTTTTGTTAGTTTATTATTTTCCACATTATGGTCTTTTCTTCTAACTTAATCAAGTGTTATTATATGTGAAGGACATTTTGATTTTTCTTTGTAGTTTGTAAGTTTATGAGCTAATATTTTGTATAATTTCCACTTTTTATCGATCAAAGAGATAATGCGCCTTATTGTTCCAACCATTGAAAGTGGGGAGGAACTTTGTATTCGGGTGTTTTAGTTTTTTTATTTCCATGCAAAATCAGATTACACAAAAATCATTGGAATAGGTCGAGTGATATATCATATTAAAGCTTCTTCAGTCGTGATTCGAAATGCATTAAAAATTTTGAACATTTTTAGTGTCGAGAAAAACCGGTTTGAATTTTTTGATTTTTGGTCTAATTTCGAGCTGATAAGGTGACTGTGTAGATTAACAATAGCTTATTTAAGCTTATTGTAAAGAGCAAAAACAATGTTGAATGTTGTGTTAAAAAGCTTTTCGAACAGAAAGTTCATCATTAGTTAAAACATAGCCTGAAAAATAATGGTATTTACAAAAAATATAAAAATAGTTAAAAAGATATACACATCAAAAGTTAGAAGTACAGCAAGCTGTAACACAAGTTGTTACTCTCAATGGAGTGGTTTACTTAGAACACGTAACTGAAGGGGCGGCTCCGGTACTCATCGCGTGTATTGATGGTCGGTCGTCTTCTCCGAATGCATAAACTCTCTAACGCCATCAATTTCCGCAGTCCAGTGGCTGAATCAAGGACTCTCACAAAAAAAAGCTTAATTTAAGCCGTGAAAACTTAGTTTTACTGGAAAGAAAGGTAGGTTTTAAAGTTTTTTAGCGCTATTTTGGGAATCAAAAACTTGAAAATTCAAAAAAATTCTGCAAAAAAATTTGATTTTTTTTTTAAATTTTTAATTTTTTTTTTCGTTTTTTCTAGTCTTCGTTTTTCAAAAACTGTTTTCCAGTTGACCTGTTTTACTATGACTCTCAAATATGCCCAAGTTCTTTTTTTCCGTTCAGATTTTTTATCACAACATACAGAAAAAACGACACCAATTTGAAAAAACTTTTTTTGTATTTTTTCTAAAACTGTGGTCGGAACATTCTGTGCTAATTGCACTGTAACCGGCTATCTTTGTTTGTTTAATACTTGTTTTATCTCAAAAAAGTGGCTTCATATTCCGTCATTTGAGGTCTCAACCGTTGTTGCCCCCATCAAAATATAACCGCCAGTAAAAAAGATAGCAGTTTTGAGGGACCACATTTTGGTTACTAGGCTTGGGGCGGTGGTTCAATAATAAGACGGAAGCGTCATTTGAGAAACCTAATTGAGTTTAATGTGTGAGCGTGTTTGTATGTGTGTATACCGAAGTATTTTTTCACTGATAAACGCTTATTAATTTGTGTACTAAGGTTAATTCATAGCTGGCAATTGTGTTTCGGTGTTAACATCTTTTCCTCAAATTGAACTTCATTCAAGGCCAATTTATGAAAATTTAGGAATGTAGTTTTTGTCATTTATGTTCAAATAAGTTTTTCGATTTAATGACTTTTGTCTTAGTTTCTGTCGGCTAGTTTGTCAGGATATGCTGGTAGTATCGCAGGTTGTGACTGTGTTGTAGCTATACCTGTCTCTATTTCGAGCTTCAGATTTAATTGCAGAGATCGATTATGTAAGAGAGATAGATAGATTGAAAAAGATAGAGATAGAGGTAGATAAAGATATAGATTCACAGACCGGGAGAGGGAGAGAGAGAGAGAGAGAAAAAAAAACATTTTTTTTTTCTTTTATGTTCGGCCATGGTGATAGCGGCTCTTCAAGTAGGCAGGCTCTGTAGCGGCAAAACTGAAGCAGCGGACCCACATTTTCTACCGATTGCTCTTTTTATGGCTCTGGATGATAAGATAGATAGGGTGCAATTGGAGTGTTGAGGTCACTCTTAAGGTGTGTTGAGTAACCGCATCGTGTTGAGTTACCGTGTGTTGAGTTACCGCAGTAACCAAGTTTTGAGAGTTTGCATCTTGTTTTTTTTTGGGTCAATTTTACTTTCGTTTGCTGGTATTAGTAATGGTATTCTGCTAAGTAGCTTGGATTTCTTATTGAGAAATTTCTGAAATTCTGAAGTATGAAATTTTTTTTGTACTTTTGTAGTTCTGGGTCGCAGCTAATGCGACGCTTCGCTTCGCCTCTGTTTATTTTCAACTTTTTAGTTATTTGAACCACCACATTATAATATAGTGATTTACAACCTTAGAAGTATTCAAAAAAGTTATTTTTGATAGTTAGACTAATTTTGGCTTTAGAAGATGTTCTTGTTTTAAACGAAAAGTTATCCTCCCCCCACCCCACCCATTTCCACCCAAGGAATACACAAAAATTCAAAGAATATACAACATTTTTTGAATATATTCTTTTGTGCAAGAAAGTGTGATCGTAAAATTTTCTGCTATTTAGTTGTGATCGGAATATTCTTTACTACTTTCAGAGCAACTGGATTTAGAAAATATTATGAAATTTAGACAAAAATTTCCAACTTTTTTCTTTTCGATTTTTTCAATTTGCTATCAGCTTTTTTCAGAACAGCTATCGGCTATTCTTGTTATCATTGCGATAAGCAAGGGCGTTGCAACCTGGTACTAGACTTTTTTTGTGAAGAACTTTGTTCACAAGAGTTTGGTCGTGAAAATGTTACAAGTGTTTCAATTTGCTTCATAATAAATTAAAATCAATCAAGCTTCCAGTGCATCTGACGTAGAGGTAACGCACTTGTTTGAAAAGCCTTGCTACGAATCCGACCGGGACCTGTTTTTTTAAAATAAAAATTAAAAGTTTTCGGCTTTTCCAGACTATCGTCATTCTGTTTATTGTTTGTCGGCTTAGTTGCCATAGCACGGACTCTGTCTTCTAAATTTCTAAATGTCATTTCAAAAGCCCCATTAGTGAAGGTGTTTAATTTACAAGGTTTTTGCCGAATTTTATTTTAAATTCATTGGAAAGTATTTACTATAAATTTTTTTAAACAAAAAAAAAGATTTTTGCACAATCAATAATTGTGCACGGAATTGTTACGCATGCGATTAATATGCTGGCGATTACCAAGCGTTATCAATACGGAACGAAGGCTTTTTCTTGTAACAACTTTTTTTAAATCAAAATCACTGAATATATTTTTTTCAAATCTGCTTTTCCATCAACTAACAGACAATTTACAATTTTTGAGCAGGTTTTCATTTCAGTTGTTCGTTCTTTTCAATGTTTTTTTAATGTTGGTTTCAAGTTCACCAACTCCGGCTCGTTATAATTTCTGTTTTTTTTTTGTTTTTTTTGGCGTAAAAGTTTTCCGGTTTATACCTAATCGGTTTAGTAGCATCATAGTGCGTCGTTGGATGAGCGAAACAAATTTTTTATGCTTGTGAGTCTTTTGCGGGGGGTAGTTTATTGTTTTTTTTTCAGTTTTCATGGAAAAATTTCATTTTGGTTCAACAGGTGCCTGCTCAAAATTGACGTCTTTGTTGCCGATTCGTAAGCTTTGTTTTGAGGCATATTTTACTTTCAATTAGCTTAGTTGACAATTTTTTTTTATAAAAGAATTTTATTCAAATCAAATTGAGACAAATATAAGCAAATTTGGGTAGATCTAATTTTTTCGACGTTTCTTAAAACTTTTTTCAACATAGCGGTTTTCGTCTCAATTTTTGTCTGCTTTAATTGCAAGTGGTACGATTGCAAGTGGTACAAAACTCTGCTTCGCCTCTGTGTAAAGATTGTCTCTTTACTAATAGGAAAATTAATTTCATTACTAATAGGAAAATTAATTAATTTGATTACAAGTGGTACGAAACTCTGCTTCGCCTCTGTGTAAAGATTGGCTCCTCATTAATAGGAAAATTAATTTCAGATGCGATGATAGTTTTGATAATAGTTTTTTGAGACAACATGACATCACGGGTAAAATCGAGAGCTGATAAATCGAGGGACAAAGACAAAGGTTAGTCAAATCAGTTGCCATGTTTGTGATTTTATCGCTAAGATTCAAAAATAATCTTATTTGCTGTGAATTTATTTTTCGCGAATTTTGATCTGCAGATTCGCAGTGAGACAAGGCTTAGTTTACTATCTATAAGTACGGTATAAGCAAATAAAAACTCTTAAAATTGTATTTCAAAACCTTATTGGAGTTGAATCTGGTCATCATCATCAAATTTTTTTTGACGTCTTGAATTATATTCATATTATGGCAATGTTTTTATTAATGAAACTCAGGTATTGTGATGTATTTATTTGTTGTGTTGTTTGTCAGCTGGAGCCGCAACAAGTAAGGACTCAGTTGCCGCGTTGAGCACAACAACTGAAATTGTAGCTGGAAAATTTTCCGAGAATGACTGGCATCAGCTTGTCGTGGAAGAGGAAAATGAAGCGTTTTGCTCCCGAATCCTCGAAGAAATGCTCCATGATACTATGCATCATTGTTACCAAAAATACATAGAAAGACAACTTCTTCCTTTTACAGTCGAAACAGCGCGAGAAGCTCTTCTTGAAATAGTCGAGTTGAGATATTTAGAGCGCGACTGTGGAGAAACTGAGCAACTCTTGGATTCTTGTTGGGCGGAAGATGACGAGGCAGAAGCTGTCGCGTTCGACTCCTGGGCAGTCGGAGCCGTTCCTTGCACTGTTTTTGGAAACGAAGATACCGAATCACTTGCAAGAACAACTGGAAGAAGTGTCAAAGGCGAGGAATCTGCAGTGGACTCTGGAACCAACCAGATGAAGGACGCTGAATATCCAGAAAACGAAGCACAAGAAGAAATCACGAACGAAGCCAAAACAAGCGAGGAGTCGGCAATCAATACCCAAACCGAAAAACCAGAACAAGGCAAACCCGAGAAAACTGAAGATAACACGGGTCCACCGAAGAAACGAAAGACGAAATTTAAGCCCAAAAGGGGACCCATAGGCTCAGCTGGTGTGTCAAGAATGAGTGAAACGATCTTCGAGACAGAATTGCGACTTCTGCAGCAGACGGTGCAAAACGAAAATGCCGATGCGACCGACAGAATGACGTCAAGTGAAATGCCCGCAAAGATGCAACAAGCACTGAAAGCCCAAGCGGGGCGACCTCCGGGGCTTGGCGAGGCCCCTGTCAAGGATGTTAACGTTGTTATAGTCGATAGTAGAGCCGTGGTCGAAAATATTGCCCCGATTCAGGTTAAAACAAACTTCTCAATCGTGGATCCGGAAGTTGAAGCAGCTCAACAACGTCTGGTTGCGATGCGAACTGGAAAGTACAATCCGATCGCTACCGGACCTAGTCCCCCAAAGCCGTCTAAAAAGGCAAGCGCCAAGTTTGACGCCAGCGAACCGAAGAAGAAACAGACGCAAGAGTTTAGAAACGAGCAGCAGTTGACTTACGATCGGGCGGCGTCTAATGGCGTAGCGCCTGTTCCACCGCCTCTCATCGAATCAATGGACGTTGTTGCGGGCGTGACTGTGCGCGAGGGAGGGCGGGTTAAACAGGGTCCACGACGCACACAGAAACAAAGCACAACTTATGCACAGCACCTAACGGAATCAATGCTGCTGCCAGTCAACAAACTCAAATCGAAAAACGCGATTTCTGTTAATGAGATTATAAATCCAATTCAGCCGGCTAAAAATGCAAAGCCATTACCCCCAATCGCCTAGATTTCTATAAATTCGAATCATTGCGTCATAATCACTAGAGTGTAATGATACACGATCAACAAAATTGTAAATGAAATTCAATTATGTTTTCTATTCCCTTTTATCATAGTTCTTAAAGAATAAATCATTATGACTGAGAGAAATTAAAACCGTCAGAAACTCGTTTACAAATCTGCCAGCGATTAGTGACTTCCAAAGTGAACAAGTTTTTTTTACAACTTGTTTCCTACGTGTTTCTCCATCCTGCGATTAGCAGCATTATATATGAAGTTAAAGTTGATCTTAATAGGCGTAACATTTCTCCCAAATCATGTTTGTAAAAAATACATTAAAAAAATTAAATAACAGCAAATAAGGAGTCTTTCAACTCTTTGCGGAAAACCGCGGTTGCCCTCTGGTTAGGAACTATATGCATTTTTTTGAGCTGGATAAAATCATCCCTCATTTTCAACCAATGAGCACGGATCATGTTTGGCTTCGAACCACCAACCTTCTGATCGTGAAACGGACGCATAACCCCTCCACCATGACCCTCCATTGTAAATAAAACAAGAATGTTTCGACTATAGTGATTTCACCAAAAACAAAACGAAAAAAATTTTTTTATTGAACTTCTTAAAGTTTTTTTTCAGCTCATGTTTTTTCACTCACATAGATTAAGGTAGCTTTAAACGTGAAAAATCTGTTCAATAATTTAAAACTGCAGTTGTAAAAGTGAATTAGGACTATGAATATGGATATATGTATCTAACAATGAAAAATAGCTCTGATCTGAAATAGTAGTTAAGTCTTATTCGCAAATATTTCAAACAGCTTTTTTATGCTAGAAAATTATTTTTTTTGCAGGTCTAATTACGGCTAAAAGAGTTTTAACTACAAACGACATTTACTCTAGAATAAAAAAATGTTTTGCACTCGTAATCAAAGTGAAAATACAAAAGAAGACAGTTTTCAAGCTTCAAAAATATCTGATGATAAAAATGATTAGTTAAGGTATTCGAATACAAGACAACTAGTAAAGGGGGAAAAAGGAAGCAGAAGAAGAAAAAAAGAAGACTTATTTTATCCAAAAGTATACACAACACGACAAACAACATACTGAAAGTAAGCAACCCTTGAACAGAAGAGATAACGAGATCAGCTGATCTGTTCGAAGTCTACCCTGCAAACTTTACAAAATTTGTAGTTTACAATGAAAGTAAATATATTTTGGTTATTTGAGACAAAAAATTGAAAAAGTGGCCACTGCGGGGACAGAACAAAATCTATCGGGACGAAAGAACAGTTTGTTACTGTTAAACCAACATGTCTCCATGAAAATTGAAAATCAAAATTACTTAAACCAAATTCATTAATTTTTTAAATTCATTTCTCATGTTTTTTTTTCATCTTAACCCCCTCCCTTTTTCTGTCGCACCCTTTCCCCTGCCTCAGATACCCCTTGGACCAAACCCTTGCTTTGAAATCTATTAATTTGATGATCCAAGTATCAGGCTAGGACCGGGAATCGAACCCATCTTCCGGGCTCAGAGTCAAAAATGTTACCTTTAGGCTATAATCAGTTTGTAATAAATGGACTTAACAATCTCTTTATTATTTTAGAAGATTTTATCCCGTTAGTCAAATTAAATCAAATAATTAGCTCATATGATTTCGTCTTGTGTTTCTTGCTCATGTTTGTTTTTGTTCAACTTCGAAGAAAGTGACAGATTAAGTAAGTAGGCTTGAGATGGTTTGTTTTAATCACTTTCACGTTTAAAATGAGCATTTTTGATGAAATTTTAAATAACATCTTAAAAGTATGACTGGTCAATCAATTTTTCGATCATCAAGTGATACCCAAAAAGCATACATTCAAGGGTTGAAAATCACGCTGAGCAAATAGAAATTCTTACTTTTTTTGTAAAATTTAGTGAGGAGTTGAAAGGCAGATGTTTGAAACACAGATGGACGTTTTTTGCGTATGTTTGCGATGTGCGACTCAGACCATTTTTTTCAATGACATATATAAAGCGAGCGAAAAAATAAATAACAAAAAACAACTTCAGTATAGAAGTACAGTCCATTTCGCGATAGTTTTTATTACTGCACTTTATTTTACTCATAATCCTCGACATGGATGTATTATAACACTAGTGTTTGTTCATGGATTTTTTTGCGATAGTGTTTGTTACACTTTTATTTTGCGATAGTGTTGGTTACTGCACTCTATTTTACTCACAACCCTTGACAAGGATGTATTGAGCCAGATACTTGACTTGTTTTTTATTATAAATTTTGGTCAAAAGGGTCTGGCATGAGAACGGTATATAGGCTTCAGTTTGTTTCATAGCTGAATGCTTACTGTAGGATATGAAAATGCACTGTTTGGTTGTTGTTAACATCTCTACATTGTACTTAAAACTGAATAGTTTTTTTAGCGATATTTTATCAAAAAAAAATTTAAACATTTTTGGGCGGCGCTAACTTTTTGCTTACACTTTCAAAGCGTGGCTAAAAGTTTCAACTATGTTCTTCTTCTTTTTTTAAAAGTTTTTGTTGGTTCTTTTAGTTCAAAGTTATTTAATTTTTTTTTTAGAAAACTGAGCTTGCCGATGGATAATTAAGGGTAGTTTGATGCTTTTGACAATCAAAATATCAAATTTTCACCATTTTTTTTAATTTTTCCAAAATTTAGTCAGCTAGTGTGCCACTTTTTTCTTCATTTACTCAGCTTAACCTGTTTCAAATGATATTATGGAGCTTATATTTTTATCAATAGATGCTTAACTTATTTTTTTTTTGTCAAAATTATTTTTCTGAAATATTAAATTTTGAAAGACTCGATTTTGTTTCTTAAGTTTTTCTATGGCACTGTATGGACTAAAACCAGAATTTCAGTGCCAATTACCAGCGTACAATTTGCAAGAATCAATTAATAATACTTGATCAGCGGTTTTTTGGCTCAAGAATTTTCACAAACGTCAGTGAAAGTTATCAAAAATAATATTGATAATAAGTTTTTTGATGCAATTAATGATTAAAAATACTGATTCAAGCGTTTGAAACATAACTTTGAGCTCAATTCCAGTAAAGGTTTTCCAATAGTTTTTTCGCCTAATCTAAAAATTTTTTAACGTGTCAGTAAACTTCTTTTACAAAAGTAATGGCAAACTGTTCATTAGTCTAAATAGCACATTAAAGATTTTCTTTTAATCGTTTGACAATTGTGAGCACAATTATGAAGAAATATTTTTTTGGGCGTTAGACAAATTTTTTAAAAATAGTAGTTTCTATTCTATTCAGATATGCAAAGTTTTGTTTTCCATTTTTGATTCAATCGGTAAAATATGGCTGCGGCAGAATAGCCCATGAACTTTGTAGTTCACCAGCAAAATTATCATTTTGCCATCATCAAAAAAAATTCAGATCTATCATCTTGACTAAAAGTATCGTAAAAGCACTCATCAAATGTGAATAACCGGTGAACTTAACTGTTGATGAAAACATTGGAAGCACTCGAGAAAAAAAATTTAATTGAATTGAACGATCGATGCAAACTTGCGCCAAAACGTGACGTGCGTTATCTGTCAAAAAATTTATTGAGCAAGTTTATTGAGCAAGAGCCTATCGGGTAAATAATGCATTAGAATTGCCGATTCAAAAGATCAAGATTGTTCGAAAAAAGATTCAGATCGATCATACTGTCTAAAAGTATCGTAAAAACACTCATAAAATTTGAATAACCGGTGAACTTAACTGATGATGAAAATATTGGAAGCACTTGAAAAAAAAGTTTAATTGAATTGAACGATCGATGCAAATTTGCGCCAAAACGTGACGTGCGTTATCTGTCAAAAAATTTATTGAGCAAGTTTATTGAGCAAGAGCCTATCGGGTAAAAAATGCATTAGAATTGCCGATTCAAAAGATCAAGATTGTTCGAAAAAAGATTCAGATCGATCATACTGTCTAAAAGTATCGTAAAAACACTCATAAAATTTGAATAACCGGTGAACTTAACTGATGATGAAAATATTGGAAGCACTTGAAAAAAAAGTTTAATTGAATTGAACGATCGGAGCATCTTTGCGCCAAAACATGAGGTGCTTTATCTGTCAAAAAGTTTTTTTGAGCAAGATCGCCTTTCGTGTAAATAATGCATTATAATTGCAATTCAAAAGATTAAGTTAGTTGCAAAAAGATTCAGACCTGTCATCTTTTCTAAAAGTATCGTAAAAACCATCATTAAAAGTGAATAACCGGTGAACTTAACAGTTGATGAAAACATTGGAAGCATTCGAGAAAACAATTTATTTGCTGTGAACGATCGGTGCATCTTAATAAATGAAATTAAATAAAATATAAATTGACAGCAGTTCAATTTAAAATTTATCAGATTGCTTTAAAGAAAAATCAAATTGAAATATCGATTCATTCAAGAAACGATATTTAGAAAAAATATTGACAGAACACAAAAAAATGTTGATAGCCGGTAGATGAGGAGGCGCTTTATCTGTCAAAAAAACTGAAAAAGCAAGATTTTCCAGTGAAAGTTCCGTTATTTTAGCCAGTTTAATATAATAAACTAATTGCAAAGATGTTTTGTGAAAATTTTAAAAGGAAAAAACCCGGACAGTTAACAACAAAAAAGAATAAAGAGGAAGTTTTTAAAAAAAGAGAAACCCAGATATTTAAAAAAGACAAAATTTAAAAAGAAGAAAGCCCGGACAATTAAACAAGACGAAATTCAGAAATTCAACATTGGTTTTAACGATGATTGTAGGATAATTTTCTACAAAAAATGACTAAAATTCATATCTATCAGGTTGTCTCAAAGAGTTATCGAAGAGTGCTATCGGTTGTTTTGATCAATTGTGTCTTTTAAAGTTTAGTGAGAACACAGATAAAAATGAATAACCGGTGAATAGAAATGTTGAGTAAAGCATTAGAAGCGTTTGAGAAAAATAATTGATTTGAATTCAATGATCGGTTCATTTTTTGGCCAAAATCTTTTCTCGCATTGAGAATTAAATTTTCAAATTGAAAATTGGCTTCAAAACGATGTTTCAGACTATGAGTTTCCGGAATGGTTGCTATCTTGAAAAAAAATT